TGGGGGCCGCGGCTGGTGCTTCTGCTGCTGTTGTTGTGCGCGGGGGCGTGAGCCCCCGGGCTGTCTTCCATTGGCAGGCGCCGTGGCTGCTGCTTCTGCAGGGGCCTTCTTTCGTTGGCGGGCGCCGCCGCTCCGGGGGCATGAGCTCCACCATACCAATATTTTAAGAGGTCTCAGCCCTTGGAGGTTTCATTCCAAATTTATTTCAAAGTTTAACACATTCTATAGTTTCTTCTAGATCCAATTCCTCCCATACACACATACCTAACCATTTCTACTGGGTCATCAGAAAAGTCGTGACACATTTTTGTATGGAAATATGTCATGACTTTCCTGACAACCTAATAGATACTTCAAATAGCAGGAAGTTGAAATAAAGAACCTGCTCATTTTATACTAAGACCCCAAGACAGTAGGTACCAACTGCTTCAAATTCCATGGTGAGATTCCTGGTGCCCAACACAGATTTTATAAGGTGATAACTGAAAACAAGTTTGAGAAACTTTAATAGCTACTTTCACCCTATAAAGGAGGGCAGATAGGTCAAAGGGAGATTAAAATACAAGGAAAGATCTCTTTCTGAATCCCATGTCAGTGTTTGTGTTTGGAAAAAGAGAAATTTTCACAACAAGACAAGAAAGTTTTCATGAAAATCACTTGGAGATCTCAACCTGCCTCACAAAGAGAATGAGAGTCCTAGTGGACCTATGTCTTGAAAAGTCAGAGCCTAAAGGTACAAGGCTGTTGTCAATTGGCTACCAAGATGGGTTCTCAAGAAAGCATGGCTGAACTGTAACTGGCCTGTATTCTCGGATTTGTGGAAAGAAAGGATGCACCAGTGCTGTTTGTACTTCCAATATGGATTGTAAGAAAGAGAATACCAGCCTAAAGTCATCTTAAAGGATCTTACCTGTGAGGAACAGCTGGAGGACCATGGATCTCTACAGTCTACCAAGGGCCAACATGAAGCCAAGCACTCCCAGCAAAAAAGTACATCATCTCCACCAGGAAAATCCAGGTGAGAGGTGGGTGGCAGGGAGGGAAGGCTGCTCAAGAACCAGAACTCGAGGACGAAGAATGAGCATCGGCAGACACTGACGCTCAAAGAAACAAGATCAGGATACTACAGACCCCTTGCCTTTTTATCTCCTCTTCTATTTTTAACTCTGACAGTTTAAAATCTGGCAACAGAGCTGCCAACAGAGAAAAACCCAACCATGGCCCATTTTACCTGCTAGCTTCCTACCCGGACTAGGCCTGGGCTGGAACAAAGAAGCAGCATCAGTATCCATTCGTAAGAGTTTTGCCTAGAATCTGGAACTGAACATTACTTACTGAAATGAGATTGTTTTATGCCTAGACTGATATGGATAACTTTATACTTCAAAAAAAACCTAATTTTTCACCTTATCCAAAGAGCATGGGAAAGATTATCCAACATAGCCATTCTGAGGGGCCAGTTAGGATAGACTAACACTGTTTTCTGATCTTACTTTTCGAGTCTGGCTTATCCGGCATAAAGGAACATCTGAGATAAACACTTTCATGAAATTTGGTGGGATGGTGATGATTACATTATAACTTTATTTTTATCATTTTTTTCTTTCTTTTTATTTTTTTTTTTTTTCAGTTTTTGCTGCAGGGTGCATGTAATCACCAGAGAAACAAAGAAGAAAATGAGAAAGCATCCCTGGGGGGATGGCCAAAATGCAGTCCCTTCTCCATTCTTCTCTTGGGATTCTGGGCATGCAATGCACATGCGTCCAGTGTGTCTTTTAATCTGCCAGGTCCAGGATGCAAACTGTGCTGTTGACTATGTGGGATCCAGCCACCCTAATTACCAAACCACCGGTTGGCCCCAATACTACTATAATTTTTAGATAATTTCCAAATTAAGTTATTTTTACCTACATCCTAGAAAATAAATTGTTTCTCTAAAATTGTTGCAGTAATAAGTGGCCCCTGATTCAGAACACATTAGTGTTAAGCAAATCTGTGGGAACTACATGCTCAGCCCTTTAAGTTCTCAGCTGCTGCTAGAAAAGAGGAGAGAGGACATGAATGATTCCCATTAGGTGGCATCCCCTCTGAATGATTCAAACACCAGCAAAGGTGGCCCAGACAATTCATCACACTGGCAGCACCCGCTCCAGAGGCCCAAAGGTCTCCATCTGTGGAATGAGAACACAGGGGATATTTCTCTTTATACCCACCACTAGGTTCCTAGCTCACTCTCATCTTGCTTTTGGAATTGACTCTATTCTTTTAAAATAAATAAATAAATAACATGGGCATTTGGCTGCCTTGATAAATAGGCTTGCAACAGCTTTTCCTCCCATTCTGGCTGGTGCTATGACAGGGTATAGGCAGTGCCCCAGGTGAGTTTTCCTCAGAGTTGATCACCAGAGAGGCTCTAAATAATCTGGCAATTAAGCTATCACTTTTTTTTGGGGGGGGAGGGGTTTTTGCTATAGGGCACGTGCACTCGCCAGAAAGACAGAGAGAGACAGAGAGACAGAACACGAGAAATCACCTCCCGGAGGGGATGGCCCGCTGCAATCCCTTCTCCTCCTTTTTCCTCTCGGGATCTTGGGCATGCACGCACGCACACACACCTGGCATGAATTTAAATCACCAGGTCCAAGACTCAAACCGCAGTTGACTACATGGGAGTCCAATGACATAGCCATTATGCTGACTGCTGGTCCCAGCAAGCCACCAGGTCCAAGACCTGAACCGCAGTCGGCCATGTGGGAGTCCAGCGCACTTAACCACCACGCCACCTGCCGGCCCCTAAGCTATCGCTTTATTCCCACATAACTGGGTCATCTCGTGATTACTACTCACAGAAAATCAAAAAGTACCAAATACCTGCACACTTACATATTCCAACTTTAAAATGCATTCCATCCAAAGTACTGCAACAATGAAGCAACCAATAATGTACATTTAAAGACTGACATATGCAAAGTGCTAACAGGATCCATGTGGTCCTGCCCATCCCCCTCACAGAAAGGGCTTGCTTACCTAACCGCTTTGGCTCCAGATGAATGGGTTTAGCTCTATTCAGCTCCTTCCACTTCTCCAGGTTTGCCAGCTCTTGCTCAGCAACTAAGCCAGGTGAGAAATGTCAATTCATCAGTTACTAGAATTTGAAGAAGAAATGTGTCCCTCCGAAGCATAAGAAACAGCCCTCAGAGGGCAATAAGCTATATGTATAGGAGCCTGGTTAGACAAGATGTCTCAGAAATGAAGACACTATCCAGCCCTATCCTCTTAGGCTCACCCTGAATTCTCCCGTGAGGGCACTTTTTCTTCAAGAGTCTGTGTGGAGGGTGGTTCAATGTTGAAAACCACCTGAATTCTTACTAAGACAAAGGACTACAGTTTTCCTCTCCCAGGCTGGCATTTTCTCAAAAGTTTATTTCTTCAGAGAGAAAGAAAGAAGAGCGAGTACTCTGAAGAGAGTCTCATCCTTGCCCAAGTCGTCCCAGCAAGCCAGGATCACGAGTGAGTGCCTGGTATGACCAAGGTGACCTGATCTTCCACATGGCTTCCAGCATTGCAGAGCATTGCATTACAACTGCTGCACCGCCACATGGGGCCCCGTTCTGGCATTCTTTAAACTCTATGTCAAGGTCATTTTTTAAAGTTTTCTTTGGAAATATGTGTAAAATTTAAAAATTCATGTTACTATTAATTTTTTCACATACAGGGAAACATGTATCACCACAGAATTAATGCCCATGCTCATTTTATTTTAAATGTTCCCCAAGCTTACTGTAACTGTGAGGAGTGAGGGCATTGTTCCATGGAAGGGCACCGCTGCTGGGCTTCTTGGTACAGGAGACCTCTAGACAAAGCCTGGGAAACAGGGTTCGTTTTCCCACATATTCACGCTGTATGACAGCAGGGGGCGCCAGAGAGATACGAACTCTCTCTGGCGCATGACCTAATCTCCATTAGACCTGATTGTTCCAAATGATCACTTTTAACATTTTTTAATTATTTGAGGGGAGAAAAAGAAAAATACAGACACATCTCAAAATCCAGACCTCACAGAAAATGTAATTCCTGTTGTTGTTTAAATAAAAATGTGTAAGATGCCAGAACCTGTGGGGTTCTACAGTCAACTGTGTGCAGGGCTATGACAGTCATGGTCTGTGCCCGCCTACTGTACTACCAAGGAGGCAGGGGTGCACCTGTCCGAGGGGGAGCCTTTAAAGAGCTGCCTTCCTGCTTTCCCTTATGCCCAGCTTTAGTCACAAAATTTCATTTCCTACCAATCATTTAATAAAGGAGAGCATAGCATTCCAGTACTGCCCCCACAGCTTCACTTGAACATCACATCATTGTGAACTAAATGGACTAGTTCTCTTTTCCCCTTTAAAGAACAATACTATAAACGGCAGTATTAATATTTACTGTTTCTACAACCTGTTATACACACACTATGTACAAGGAACACAAACACGAATAAGATGTTATCCCTGTCTGCAAGGAGTTTATAATCCAGAGAAGAAAACTGAACGACTTAGGACGCTGATGGTAGGCTCTGGAAATTTCCACAGTAAGAGGACCCAGAGACTAAAGAAAAAGGCCATTGAGAGATGAGGTAAATCAAAAACAGTATAAATTATTTATAATTTCCTGTTTCAAAAGCATGTATACTTCCTTAAAAATATCAGCAATCAGCCCAACTTTACAGGGATGAGATCAATCTATTGGCAATTGGTGTGAAGTTGTTTAAACTCAATAGAAATCCAAGATTTGCAATCGTGCCGTGAATTATGTTACTAATGTAGAGAAACACCTTTAGAAATTTTAACAATAGAAAAAAAAAATTTAAGAATTATTTTATGTAACATTAATTATTTATATTTATTTTTGTTTAGTTAGTTTAATTTGACCAGAGAGGGACAAAGTGAGAGAAGGAAAGTGAGAAAGCAAGCTGCCAGGTCCAAGACTTGAATGCAGTTGGACATATGAGAGTCCAGCACCCTTAACCACCATGCCACCTGCTGCTCCCCTCCAAAAAATTTTAAAGTTATAATTAAAACTACTAAAGTTTTAAAAAGAGGATATACACCATGGTGAGATTTGGTGAGTCTATATAAATCAGAAAATGAAAATAATTCAGACCCAAACCAATAGTAAAGAAAATGATAAGTATTATCAATGTTAAATACATATAAATAAATACATACTCCTTTGTATCTTATTTCTCCGGTTTTCATTTGGGCTTATCAAGGTATATGCACCTGTGCTGAAAAGAAAAAAAAAAGTTGCTCATTATCATGAGAAACTACTAATGCATGTAAGCTACCAACATTCTTCCTTGTATTAGAGTAAATAGGTACCCTGGGAGGTAATCTTCTTAACACCTAGGTCTGGAGGTCAGCAGGTAATGTAGTGATTATGACACTGGACTCCCACAAGGCTGATCACAGTTTGAGTCCCAGACCCAGTGACTTGAAAATCATGCTGGATGCGTGTGCATAAGTGCCCAACATCTTAGGAGGAGAATGGAGGAGAAAGGATTACAGTGTGGCTTACCCCGGGGGGATGATTTCTCACTTTCCCTCTCACTGTCTCTCTCTGCTTCTCTTGGATACACATGTCTCGTGACAAAAACCTTTAAAAACAAATAACAACAACAACCAAAAACCAATTTTAGGTCTGTTTGCCAGGACTTTACAATGTAGTTTTCAAAGTAAAACAAACAGGGGCTGGATGGTAGCACATGGTGAAAAGCTAACACTTTTCCAGGCTGACCCATGGGGGAAGGTTTCAGGGTCACGGCTGGAGTATTTTCTGAGTACTCTGGGCATGTGTGTGCATCTTTTCCAGGGCTAGCTGAAGCTGGGGGTAGAGCAAGGCATCAGGATCCTTTGGAAGTGCTGTGTGTGTGTGTGTGTGTGTGTGTGTGTGTGTCCTGCTCATGGAAGAAATAAACCTTTTTAAAAAGTAAAATAAATGGGCATAGATACATACGTAATACAGAAATTGTTCCTCTTCCCTATCTGTAATTTTGTTTCCATTAATCAATATCCCTCTATCTGCCCATCTTCTCTCCCAATTCTCCCCAGCCCCTAGCAGTGATTCTTCATCTCTACTTCTATGGGGTCTTTTTTTTTTTTTTAATTTTGATTTCCACATATGAGGGAGATCATGTGGTATTTTTCTTTCTATGCCTGGCTGAGTTCATTTAACATCATGTCCTCCAGGCTTACCCATTAACCTCAAGTGACAGGAGTTCACCCTTTTTAGTGGCTAGATAATATTCCATTTTATGTACACCACATTTTCTTTATCCATTCAAATGTTAATGGATTGATTCCAAATCTTGGCTATTACAAATAGGGCTGCAATAATGATTGGGGTACAAATATCTTTACAATATATTGATTTCCTCTCTTTTGAATATATACCTAGTAGTGGGATTGTTAGGTTATAGGACTCTTCTATTTTTACTTCTTTAAGAAAATGCCATACAGTTTTCTTTAATGTCTGTACTAACATATATTCCCACCAGCAATGTAAAAGAACAGCCACCTGCTCCTGACCCATCTGAGTCATACAATCTTGTATTTTTAGGCTTTGACATTTTTAGGCTTGGGTCCACTGAGTTCCTCATTCTCCTAGGTACACATGTTGAGCATAATTAGGAGTTCAGAGA